AGTTTAACTTTTGGTCCAACAGGAATCATACCATTTTTAGGAGACTATTTCCATAACATAGACCAGAGTAATCCTTCTCAAATACGGGTAAAGTTCCATTGCAAAGAATACTACTATTAAAGAGTTTTTTATGGAAGATTGGACAACCAAGAGAAGTAATGCTTTGCTAATCTGGTTGTACACAATATCTGTGGTGATAGTTTTTGTAACTATTACCTTTAAATAAGGACCTAACTCTGATGCTTACAGCTCAGAGAAACTGAGTTATAACTGTGCTTTATATACTTTTCTGTCTTGCCATCAAGCAGCAATTATCCTTCAGCTCATCTCTTCCTCAAAATATCAAAATCATCTAAACAAAACCACCCAAGCTACCTACTAGAATTAAAACTTGGGGAAAACATCCAGGAATAGAAAAAAGGAGTATAAGTAGTGATGTGTGTATAACACCTTCTCTAAATACCTCTTTTCCTCTGCTAATTTACAACAAAGAAGCTAGGCACAGCTGTTTCAGCTCTAGATCCTAAAGCCTGGAAATCATATTTCTAGCAATGCATTCAATTTTACATTTCATTATAACTAAATAATTTAGAGATGTCTACATTCCTTCTGGTGGAAATTTACCTGCATGATACCATCACTTGCCTCTATTTTCTCTAACTCAAATGTTTCCAATTTCTCTTTCTTCTCCAATACAACATGTACTTACCCCATTTCCTCTCTATATTCTATCTTTAAACATTACCTTTCCCTCATTTCAATAACCCTAGAGCAGGTCTTGGATGCTTGGGTGGAAACAACTGTCTCTTACAAGCCTCCCTCCAGTTTGTTTCTCCTTCACTTCTACACCAAGCAATAATATCTTCCACCAACAGCTGTTTTCAGTAATAAGAAAGCTAAGTTCTGTGACTAAGCTAAACATCCCTTCTGTTCTCCGAGGCCTACAATGGTTCCTAGCTGCCAATTACATCAAATTGAAATTTCCAAGTACTGTTCACTATGTCCTTAATGAACTGTGCTGAGTACTCTGAACTATCTGTTCACATTTTCCTACATATTCAAATCTATATTCTCTATTCTACATAATCTGACAACCTTGTATTACCATGATTAATTCATTTCTTGTTTATATTCTTTCCCACTATGGTCACGACTATTTGCTGTCCTTATATTTATTTATTCTCTCCTTCCTCCTTAACTATAGATTTTCTAACTTTCATCTGGGTACATAGCTGTCCAGTATAAAGATTACATTACTCAGCCTCTCTTGCAGCTAGGAATGTCCATGTGACTAAGTGCTAAACAATAATATGTAAGCCAAATGTCATAAGCAACTTCAATAAATGTTCTTAAAAGGAAGGATCATTCATATTTCAACTTCTCCTTCCTACTGGCTAGGATGCAGATGTGATCTGGATCATGAAATGGAAGTTATGTGCTGAGTTTGATGGAGCAACAAGAAAGAGTGAGCCCTGGGTCACTGACATCATCGGGAGCCATAGCAGTCCTAGAATACCTAATTCTGGACTCCTATTATATACTGGAGGCCCAATGCATGAAATTCGTGTAAGGGGCTTAGCCCTCGCAGCCGTGACAGCTTGCCTTGGCCCTCGCAGCCCCGGCTTCGTCCGAAAGGTTGTCCGGAAGGACATCCAGAAGGATGTCCAGAAGGTTGTTCGGCTGTCCAGTCTAATTAGCATATTATGCTTTTATTATTATAGACTAGAGGCCCGGTGCATGAAATTCGTGTACAGGGTGGTGTCCCTCAGCCTGGCCTGCACCCTCTCCAATCTGGGACCCCTTGGGGGATGTCCGACTGATATCCTTCTCACAATCCAGAACCAGTGGCTCCTAACCACTCACCTGCCTGCCTGATGGCCCCCAACTGCCCTCCCCTACCGGCTTGATGGCCCCCAACTTTCCTCCCCTGCCAGCCTGATGGCCCCCAACTGCCCTGCACTGCCAGCTTGATGGCCCCCAACTGCCCTGCTCTGCCGACCTGATTGCCCCTAACCACCTCTGCCCATTTTTATGGCCTCTATTACTATCACTTGTGGGTGTACCAAATTCTAACTGATCCATCCATCTCTAAGTTTTTATTTGCTACTTCTCCTATCCCACTAAGAAAGCCCTCCCAATTTTTCCTATCTTCCCTCCTACCCCAAATTGTCAGTTTTCTTTCTTCCTTTAAAATACAGCTTCAGATTCAAACAAAGAATCCTACATGGAAAGGGTTAATATTGCTAAGCTTACTTAATTAAATTATTCTTCTTTGAACAAAAAACATACATAAATATATGGATAAGTAAAATTAAAAATAATGTAACAGATTTTTAACAAATTTACTACAGCTTATACACCCAAACATTCACTATTTAAATAGTACTCTTACTACAGATTCATTTTAATGATGCCATCATTCATCAAAATTTTTTGCACATTAAAAACAAACAAAAAGCCCATCACTAGATATTACCTCCATGGGAGTGGAAATATACTCAATTTGCTTACCAGGCCTAGAACAGTATCTAACATATAGTAAGTAGGTACTCAAGACATATTTACAGTATGAAAAATATAAATTGTAGCAAAACGTCTTCATTTTAAGGTAGAATGATTTTTTAAAAAAGAGTCAAAAGTCATTCAGAGCTTAGTCTAGTGCTGTGGTCGGCAAACCGCGGCTCGCGAGCCACATGCGGCTCTTTGGCCCCTTGTGCGGGCGCGCATGTACAGTGCAATTGAAACTTTGTGGCCCATGCGTAGAAGTCGGTATTTTGTGGAAGAGCTGGTATTTTGTGGAAGAGCCACACTCAAGGGGCCAAAGAGTCGCATGTGGCTCTCGAGCCGCGGTTTGCCGAGCCGCAGTTTAACGACTACAGGTCTTGTGAATAAGATGTGTCAAAAAGCTGGGAATATCATTTTGGATTAAAAAAAGTAGTGACTATAAAATAATAAGCTAGATTTTTCTTGTATGAATCATAAAACAGCTCAAAGATGAGCCAGTTCTGTAGCAGTTCAGGGCCTCATTTCCTAAGCTTATAGTTAAGGATGTCAAGCTTGCTCCAGTTCCAGAGCATTTTGCATCTGCTGTTCCCTCTGCCTGGAACTCCCCAGCTATTACATGGATTACTCTTCACATCATTCAGGTCTACCTTTATATATCCACCTCCTCCAAAAGGCCTTCCCTTACTACCTGACCTAAAATAAAGTCATTCCTGTCCTTCTCTGTCCCCTGACACTGCTTTCCTTGTTTTCTTTTATAAATAGGAATTGCCACTTCACTATCTGACGTAATAGCTTTTGTTTTGTTTTGTTTGTTAATCCTCACCCAAAGATATTTTTTCCATTGATTTTTAGAGAGAGTGGAAGTGAGAAAGGGAAGGGGAGAGAGAAAGAGAGAGAGAGAGAAACATCAATATGAGACACATTGATTGGCTGCCTCCCACATATGCCCCAACCAGGGCCAGGGATTGTGGCCAGGAATTGGAGCCAGGGATCAAAACTGCACATGCCCTTGATGGCATGTGACCCTTCCATGCTCGGGCAGACGCTCTAACCACTGAGAACACTAGCCAGAGCCTGACATAATAGTTTTATATCTATTTTGTTTATGTGTCTTTAATATCTGTCTCAGTCACTAGAATATTTTCCCCACGATGAAAGGGGCTTTATTATCAGAGCTATAGCTCCAAATTTCTGCTAGACATCAAAATTTCAAATAACAAACTCAATACAATTATGTTTATAATAAAAGAGAAAAGAAGAGAGAGAAGAAATGAAGGAAGGTACAAGAAAGGTAACAGAGAAGTAGCAAAAGGGGTAAAGAAACTCTGGATAAACCACAATTGGTTATTTTACTGTTACTTCTTTTTAAGGGTCAGTTTGAATTCAAGGCTTCCGTGAGAAAATTTCTAAAAGGGTCTATCTCTTTTGAGATATATTTCAAAGGAATGGGTACCCTAGAGGAAGAGGTTCCTCACCTTTTAGAAGCATTTGGTGGTATTTACTATTATAATTACAATGGCACCTCTTTACTGTATTTTCATCTCCCCAGGCCACACAAGTACAGACTGAGAACTCCTGACCAAGTCAGACAAATACTTTAATGATTTCTAGTAGAATTGGTTTGTGTTGGTATTACTATTAACATTTTTATATTTTCATACTTAACTGACATTTGGAATGTCTACTCATATTGAATACCTGCATCTCTTTCAGGATCATGAGAAACAGATTTACCTAAAGCTAGAGGTACAATACTTGTAACTAATTATATGTTACTCCTAGTAAGCCCCTCACTTACAGCACCAAGTTTAGTTCTGTTCAAGGGACAATGATCTAAGTCACATTTCATTAATGTTTCTGTTTCCTCAACCTGTCCATTCCTTAAAACAGCTTATCCACACAGGGTTTGTACTGTCCTTTATGTTTTAGCAAATTTGGTAGAAAAAAATTCATTTTCCTGCTTTCTAATAAAAAATAAATCCCTTTTTAAGAAAAGTTCAGTAGTCCAGAATTAACATTTTAGTCAAAGGAAAGTGTTATGTAACACAAGGCATTGTCCTAGAAGAGTTTTACAGCAATTTTGAAATTTTGAGGCACATTTAAGAAAATGTCAATTTCCTGATTTATAGAATTAAATGGCACAAATGCACACATACCCAGATCCTAGTCTCAGAAAACAGTTCTTACTGACATTCCAATTTTAATTATAATCTTAAAAATCAATCAGGATGCAAAATAGGGTAGTCACTTATTTAATTCCTTTTAAGCTCAAAATCATTTTATTTGAATCCCGGATAACTGCATTCAGAAAATAGCCATAAAATATTTTACTGAATATTATTCTTCATCTTTGTTCGCTAAAGTATGATGACTAATACAGTAGTAATATTAGAACTAGTCTAATATTAACAAGTTTGTACTACAAGTTATGTATTATGTTTTTTAGTTGTTCTTAAATACCTATTGCATATTAGGCCAATGTTCATTATACACACTTCTTTTACATAGCCTTGCAACCTTAAGAAGCTTACACTTCTCTGAGGCAGGAACTTCTGGTGTGGGGGCAGAAGCCCAGGCTGTTGGAGAGTTACCTGTATGAGGTAATCTTTTAGAAAATGCCATAGAGTAGGAGCTACGCCGTCTAGTCCGACATGCTACTTCCCTCTCTTTATGCAGCAATTGCTCATCCATCAGCAATGTTATGACTTGCTTAGACTTTTCCCGGATATGATAACCTGAAAAATACGTTGAATATGCATAGAAAAAATATTAAGGCTACAATTAATTTCTATTCAAAAGAAAATTAGGAAAAATGAATATGTGAGCAAAGTGAAAAAAACCTGTGGCAAATGTAGAGAGAAACCTAAGTTTCATTACAATTATCAACAAGCTAGAAACCTGATGCATGAAAATTCGTGCAAGAATAGGCCTTCCTTCCCCCGGCTGCTGGCACCAGCTTCCCTCTGGCACCTGGGACCCGGCTGTTTCCCTTGGGCCACCCGCAGGCACCCAGGACCTGGGCTGGCTTCCCTCAGGCCGGGGCTTCATCAGGAAGGATGTCCGGAATGATGTCCAAAAGATGTTGGTCTAATTAGCATATTACCCTTTTATTATTATAGATATTCCTTTTCTTATACTTCAAGAAATACTTCAATAAATATAAGGTGAAATTATATCAGGCATTGGCATTACATTTTTTCACTTTAAGAATAATTTTAAAAGCACTACATAATCTGCAATAAGTCAAAAAAAAATGGCAAAGTGGAGGAGTGAATTAGATCTAGATGTACTGACCTAGATGAATGACCATGATATATGGCTAAAGATTTAAAATAATATGCATAGTATGATTCAAATCTGTAAAGCATAGGGGAAAATAAACCAGTATTTGTATCCAGGAGAGAAAAGTAGATGGATGGACGGATTGATGATGGATGGGTGGATGGATAATGGTGGGGCAGGCAGACAACCCTCTGTGTACCCACAACATTATTAACATGTTACCTTAGAGGGGTACAACTACAGAGGAAAAGAAAAGGGAGGGCAACTGGCTTTTCTTTGACATAAACTCCTCACAACTTGATGCCGTTAACAGAGTCAGAGCCCAGTCTAAGACCTGAATTCCAACCATGCTGCTGCCCTCTACCACCTGTGTGACTCTGAACCAGGTGTCTGGCCTGAGTTTCCTTCCTGAAAAACAGTGTATCTGTTCAGTCTAATTCACAGATATAAAAGTTTACTCTTTCAAATATGTGGTAATATTACTATTATTATTCTCAATCTTTTTCTATGAGAAATGATATAAGAAATCCCTTACTTCTCCACATCTTGGGACCAACTTACATTAACATTTCATGTCATTCCAAGCCTTCTTTGAGGTAAGCTGAAAAGTCCCTGAAGATCCACTATTATGTTCATTTTGGGTTCCAAGTGCAATGAATTAAACATTAATGTTTCCAACTATAATTTACTAGTAGTGGAAATAATTTGAAATGGTCAAATTCAGGGTATACAGGGGGTGAGCAAAAGTAGGTTTATAGTTGTTTGTATGGAAAACACAGTAATTAATAAATATAAGAATAAACTGTTTCCACATACTCACAACTGTAAAGCTACTTTTGCCCACCCCATATTTAGAGAAGAGGGGCCAACAATGTTCTCTAAATGCCAGTCATTTCATCAAGGATTGATAGGGATCATGTAAGAAACCTTTGCTCAAGCTGCCATCTTTTTCAAGATTATTTTATCCAGTTTCACTTCTGAGTCATTTCTTCCTTTCAAACTCTCTTATAATTGCTTCAAACCTTATCATTCTAAGCACTTTAATTTCCTATAATGAGCTTGCAGTTTATAGCCAAAAAAATCCACAGTGTTTTGGGTTACCACTCATTGCCGCATGATAGGCAGAGTCTCCTGTGACTGTCAGCCTTAGGGGACTAGAAACACACCAGACACTACCTTCCCCCACCCACCCCATAACTGACAGAGCTTGGTTTAGGTGGGGAATGAAAAACTTGTTTTCCCTTTAATTTCAGGAGCTCATCTCCCGCTTTTCCCCTCACTCCCTCTACTCTAGCCCCCCTGGCTGCCTTATTCTATAATCCTACCACGCTCTTTGGCTGTTGCTTCTACCAGGAACTCTTTGCATGGCTAGATCCTTGATTCATTCAGGTCTCTACTCCCATGTCACCTCCTCAGAGAAGCCTTCCCTCTGCTCACCCTCTCTAAAGTAGCCCCAGCCCATCAGTCTTCCCAAACTCAAGTCCCTTATCCTACTTTATATTTCACCTTGGCATAATCACTACCTAAAATTGTATTATATATTTATATTGTTTATTGTTTCCTCACCTAGTATATAAGCGTCCAATTAGAGCAGAGAATCTCTTTTCATCCAGTATCTTCATCATCTAGAAGAGTGATTGCAATGGTAGATGCTTAATAAATATTACTGAATGAACGAATCAATAAAAGGAGCAAATTCCCAAAAATCTGAATTTCCTTCTTGACATAGTACGAATGGATAATGAGAGCCAATTTACAACCTAGCTGCCTAAGGAAGTTGCTTGACCTGAAACAACTTCTTGCAACACCCCTACTTAGAAAAAGTTAGAAGTTACGGAACAGATGTGGAATATTCTACTTGGAGTCTGCATGGATTGATAGGAATTGAGGGCAGCTCTCCTCATTCAAAGTGACAAGCAGGTACATAGAGCAGAAAGCCAACTGCAGTAATGGAAGACTTCTCCCTGAAACACCGGGACTCCTCCCTGAGGTAGCAATCTGCAGCATCAGTAAGGTCAAGTCACAGGAGTTGACAGAAAATTGGGAAGAAATCACCCAGACATGAACTTCCTGTTCACGGCTGCCCACTGCCCTGGCTACCTCTCCTCCGTCCTTGAGATGCTGAAGAATAGAAACCTGGCTGTTCTAAAGCATCAAAGTTGAAAGTGAAAAATTTCAAGAACACAGTAAGTCTGTTTCAAGGATGGGTTAAATAATAAAAATAAGATGGCATGTACCTCACCTCCAACCAACATGTTTTTGTGTCTTTTTTTTTTTTTTTTAGAGAGAGTGGAAGGGAGGGAGTGAGGGGGAGAAAGAGAGAGAAACATCAATGTAAGAGAGACACATCTATTGGTTGCCTCCTGCCCACAGGAGGGAATCGAACCTGCGACCCTTCAAGGCTCGGTCGACGCTCTAACCACTTAGTAACACCGGCCAGGGCTAACCAATATGTTTTTAAATAAAGGAAAGGGGAGGCGAGGGGAAGGTCAGGGGGGTTTGGGAGGAGGCATATGTACTACTCTTTGTAATATTTTAAGCAATAAAACAAAATTTTAAATAAATAAATAAAGGAAAGAGGACACAGAACTAAAATAGACTATTACTGGAAATAGGATAAACGTAGGCAGTAACTTCTTTGTATCAGAGAGAGAGAAAGAAAAGAGAGGGATGGGGAAAAGGAGAGGGTAAGAGAGGGAGATATAGAGAAACAGAGAGAAGGAGAAAATATGGCTTCTCTGAAACAAGATACTATGTAAGAGATCAATATCCAAAGATATTGTATAAAACACATCAAGATGAAAAGCTTGCTAGTTGAGGTAAAGGTTAAAGTAAAAATACAATTATATACTATTTTTAATTAGGAATCTTTGGCTATAAGCAACAGAAACTCAATTTGAACTGGCTAAGGCAAAGGGCATGGAAAAACCAGGGGTTGCAATTGGGCCTCAGGTCCAAGTGAAGCAGAAACTGGAAAACTACCAGGAAGGACTCTTTCTTTTCTCCTCTCCCACCTCTGCTTCTCTCTGTTTAATGCCTTCATTTTCTCCTGCTGCAGACCGGCTTCTTCAATCTGGATGTGGATATGGCCACAAACAGCTCCAGGTTCACCTCATAGTCTGCCACCTGAGAAGTCTCCCTCTTCTTTCCTTCAAATTTGAAAAATCCAGGAGAATAACTCTGTCCCAGCTAGCAAGTCACATGCCCATCAGTATGGCCAGAGAGTGAGATGTTACCCTTGGCAACTCCCATTAGAAAGGTACAGGAGAGTGAGGGGAGGATCAACGGGATAGAAAAGTGAACAAGTAAAAGGCCAACTGAGGAGTCCTCCCAAACTCAAGGCAGAGGACTTGGAGGACATGCAAATCAGAACCATGCAACAGACCAATACCTAAGGTTATTCACATTTAAACATTCTGAACACTTACGTTTCAGAAAATGTTCTAAACAGTGGGGGCACAAGTGAAGAAAAAAAAGAGACAAGGACCCTAAACAAGATAAATCCAGAGAAAAATAAATACTTTAAAGGAGATAAAGAAGAGTGATATGCTAAACATTAATTTGGGGTGTGGTCAAGAAATGTCTTGCCGAGGAAGTACCATATCAGTTGAGTCTTGAACAGCAAGAAAAAGCCACCTATGCAGATGTACCAGGAAAAAGCACCTGGCAGAGGGAACAGCTCGGACCTCACTTCTTCATAAAGCCTGAGAGGAAAACCCCCTCCCACTCGCCCAGACTTGGTCAGGCCCCACTTTCACGCTACACTTATCTTTTATAGCACTTCCACTGTTCATAATTGCTATTTGATAAATGCCTTCTTCCTCTATCAATGTATAACATCCTTCAAGGCCAGAACTACACTTGTTTGCTTAAGAAATACCTAATGCTTGTTAAATGAATGAATGAGTGAATGAATGTGCTGAGAAAAACTTCCCAAATACAGGGAAGGAGTCTATGTAAGTTCATAACTGAATATCAAGTGAAGAGATTTGGAAGCATGCTAAATTCAAAGATCTTGGGCACTGAGATGCACCAGCATGAAAGACACAGACCAGACTTTTAGAATTATACCAGTATGTACTGAGCTTCACACAGTAGTTACAAAACATCTTAATATTCCTTTCTCCATTCTGACCCACCAAAATCTACTCTTCTCCCCATATTCCTTTCTCAGTGAATTTTATCTCCATTTTAAGCCAGAAATATGAGCATTCACCTCTTCAAATTCAATAATGTATGTCTACTGGTTGTACATACTAAATATCTTCTAAGCCCATTCTCTCCACTCCATCTCCCTCATCATTTGTTGCCTGTGGTGTTCTAAATTATTTACTTACTAGAGGCCCAGTGCACAAATGTCATGCACTTGGGGGTGGGGGAATTCCTCAGCCTGGCCTGCTCCCTCTTTCAGTCCAGGGGATGTCTGCCTGCCAGCTTAGGCCTGCTCCCCAACGCTGCTGCGGAGGCGGAAGAGGCTCCTGCCACTGCTGCTGCGCTCGGCAGCCATGAGCCCAGCTTCTGGCTGAGCAGCACTCCCCCTGTGGGAGAGTACTGACCACCAGGGGGCAGCTCCTGTGTTGAGTGTCTGCCCCCTGGTGGTGAGTGTGCATCATAGCGACCCATCATTAAGCGGTTAGGTCGATTTGCATATTAGAGTTTTATTATATAGGATTTTTAGCCTCCCTTCCAATCTGCCCTTCACAATGCCTCAGGGATGGGGATGGGAGGGAGGGGAGAAGTATCCCAAACATTAAGTTATTTTCAAGTTAAAAAATCTTCAGTCCAGTTGGCACAGTAAGTTCATGCTTCAAATTACCCTCTGCTCTTCTCCAAAAATCACAGCAATAATAGACATCATCAGTCTCAAAAACAAGATAAAAACCTCCATGATCCAGAAATATAAGAGAAATGAAAAGGCAGTGAGCAGGGCTGAAGCCACAGGCTGTTGGGCTCTTGATCTGACACGAGGAGTTCAGCTCCTCAGGTGCCAGGGAATCAGCACTGTCTCACTCTCTGATGTTAGGGATTATCCATGTTTGTGAGAGACGTCTTGGAAGAAAGGGAAAAAAAATTCCCCAATAGCTTCCTGGGCTGTAATTTATCTGTAGTTGTGGGTCTAGAAGCAAGAGGACACACATGCAGCCTTAAGGCTTGAAACTAAACTAAGCCACCAGCTGGCTCAGTGACTGGCTCAGTGACACACACCCTAGTATTATCTCAAGCAGGAGCCCTGAGCTACCTTTATAAGGGCTATACTGAAGGCTCAAAGGGAGCTGGGTGGCAGGAACTGAAAAACCAACATAAAGGGAAAAGTGAACAGGAGTGGTTGGGGAATAACATCTCACTCAAATAGGCTGAAAACTAAAATTCCAAAATAGATTTTTTAAAAATATGTTAATAGTCAATAAAAGAGCAATCACAACAAATTCACTCCAAATGAAATCAGTATTCTACAGGACTCTATGGGATTTTCTATAAATCAATAATCTATATTGTTACAGGATTTAAACAAAGATTTTGTTATTTTGTTGTTAATCCTCACCCGAGGCTATTTTTTTTCCCATTGATATTTAGAGAGTGGAGGAGGGGTGAGAGGGAAAACATTGATGTGAGAGAGACAGAAAGTAGATTAGAAGTGAGCAGGGGACGTATGCTTAATAGTGGAGATGGTTATGCAACACTGAGAATGTAATTAATGTCTGAATTGTACATTTAAAATGGCAAGTTTTATGTTATATATATTTTGAGCTTTAAAAATAACATACCAAAGCCATGGAATTGTACACTTTAAATGGGTGAATTATATTATACTGTATATGACGTATCTCAATAACTCTGTTTTTTAAAAAGTTACGAAAAGCCCTGGCCAGTGTTGTTCAGTGGTCAGAGCATCAGGTTTGATTCCCAGTCAACAACATGTACCTGGGTTATAGGTTCAATCCCCAACCCCAACTGGGCACATGAGAGAGGCAACCAATCAATGTGTCTCCCTCACATCGACATTTAATTGAGTTTTAAAGGACTTCTCTCTCTCTCTCTCTCTCTCTCTCTCTCTCTCTCTGTCTCTATCTCTCTCTCCTTCTCTCCTCCCTCCCTCCCTCCCTTCCATTCTCTCTAAAAATCAATAGAAAAATATCCTCGAGTAAGGATTAACAACAACAAAAAAGTGAAGGACAAAAAGAGAAATTAGGTCTCTCAAGCTATGAAAAGACATGGAAGAATCTTAAATGCATATTGCTACATGAAAGAAACCAGCCTGAAAAAGCTACATGCCATTTGATTCCATCTATGGAGACAGTAAAAAGATCAGTGGATGTCAAGGGTTCAAGAGGGTGAGGCAGGGGAGAATAAATAGGTGGAGAACAGGGCACTTATAAGGCAGTAACTACTGAGTAAACTATCTATATGATAACAGAATGGTAGATACATATCACTATGCATTTTCAAAACCCGTAGTACAGAGTGAATCGTAATGTAAACTAAGGACCTTAGTTAATAATAATCCTATATAATAAAAGGCTAATATGCAAATCGCTGAAAGGCGGGATGACCAGTTGCTATGACACGCACTGACCACCAGGGGGCAGACCTTCGATGCAGGAGCTGCCCCCTGGTGGTCAGTGTGCTCCCACAGGGGGAGCACTGCTCAGCCAGAAGCCGGGCTCACGGCTGGCAAGCGCAGCAGCGGTGGCGGGAGCCTCTTTCGCCTCCACGGCAGCACTAAGGATGTCCGACTAACAGTGGGCCTAAGCCAGTGGTCAGCAAACTGCAGCTCGGCAAACCACGGCTCGGGAGCCACATGCAGCTCTTTGGTCCCTTGAGTGTGGCTCTTCCACAAAATACTGGCTCTTGCCCTAACCAGTTTGGCTCAGCGGATAGAGCGTTAGCTTGCGGACTCAAGGGTCCCAGTTCAATTCCGGTCAAGGGCATGTACCTTGGTTGCGGGCACATCCCCATTGGGGAGTGTGCAGGAGGCAGCTGATCGATGTTTCTCTCTCATCGATGTTTCTAACTCTCTATCCCTCTCCTTTCCTCTCTGTAAAAATCAATAAAATATATTTAAAAAAAATACCGGCTCTTCCACAAAATACCGACTTCTGCGCATGGGCCACAAAGTTTCAATCGCACTGTACGTGCACACCCACACGTGGTATTTTGTGGAAGAGCCACACTCAAGGGGCCAAAGAGCCGCATGTGGCTTGCGAGCCACGGTTTGCCGACCACGGGCCTAAGCCATCAGTCCGACATCCCCTGAGGGTGCAGGCCAGGCTGAGGGACCCCTCCCCCCGGAGTGCACAAATTTCATGCACCAGGCCTCTAGTACATCAATATTGATTCATCAATTGCAACAAATGTACCACACTAATGCAAGATGTTCAATAGGTGAAACCATGTGAGGATAGGAAAGGGTATGTAAGATCTCTGCACTTTCTGCATAATTTTCTGTAAACTGCTGTAAAAACAGTCTATTTTTAAAAATGTACACTTATGGTAACATAGACACTGCACTGAATTATATCCTTTTCTCATTATTCGTAAGATTATTCACTTTAAGCACAAATAATAATTTTACATTGTGAGGGGGAGAAAGTGCTGATTCTTTTACCATTGTAGAAAATCAGGCACTACTGAATCATCTCAGTTCAGTATTCTATTTACCCTTTCCCTATTTCACCCCCTCCTCCACTGACAAAATTATTTTATGACCTAGATTTTATATTCATAAAACCACTTGAATATAGCTAGTCTTTGAAGATTCCATAGCCTTTGGAAACATTTCCTTATATTTATGACTAAAGTCCAATCTAATTATAGTTATGAATTATAGTGACATTATTTTAGCCATTTGCCATACCTCCTGTTTTATTCACTTTGCTCATTTTCTATGAGGTATTATTTTATCATGAACCTAAGTGTTAGTTGTATACATCCTTTTTGGGGGAAAAAAACAAAATGCTGCCCTCTAAGGCTCTCAAGAGACAACACAAAGGATTAAACTGGAAACCACAACTGTCCCAGAGGAAAGGTAGCTAATACGTTTAAGAACAACTTTTCCCCAGCTCCTGGTTTAAAATGATTCCCTCCCAAGCTCCTACTCTTTATTAGCACACAGTATACACTTCTTTAACTGTTACCTTGGTCTTTTCCAGCTTCATCTATATGTTGAAAATCTTTTAGTATTTGAACTTTACAGAACCCCTCTCGGCAAAGCTGAATAACTTTCTTAGATCCATTCTTGATGAGATAATCCATTAGCATAAGGGATTTATACACATGGCGCCAGTTCTTCCCATGGTCGTTTAGTCTCTGCCATAGCATATTCATAATCTCTGAGAGAGAAATCGTGTTGAAAGTCAGGTCACTGATAGCTAACATCAGGGAACTAGAAGGACCCCAAGGATCATTAGAAGTTGCTTCCCTGACTTTTATTTCAGCTTCTGAGTAATTTTTCACAAAGTTTTTCACTTGCCTCCTGAATGCCATAGGTAAGACAAGTTTGAAGGTGAGACAGGAGAGGAGAGCAATGGCATAGGAGTGTATGTAACTGCTTTATAAAACCCTTGTCAGGTCATTGGTCCCTGTTTCTGCTGTTCCCAAATACAAATGATTAATCATCATCTTGACAAGGCATCAATTTCCTGCAAAGAAAAGCACACACAAAAATGTAAGTTAATGTCTATTGAACAACAAGTCAGTCTAAAAAATCTAACTTTAGTTTCTAAATCAGCCCCTCACTTACATCAGCCAGAATTGAGGGTATATATAAATGTTTCTAAGGTCATTATGGGATAATCTCTCCTAAGGGATTGGCCTACTTAATTTAGAGCAATATAAGTGGTCTTTCTAGTCCTAATGGTTCCTGCAGAAAATATCATTCATCCTCTTTGGCCAGAAATAAAATTATTACAAAGCATTTCATGGACAGTGGACAACTTAGTGTAAGAAAATAGGACTTGGGCCCTTGCTGATTTGGCTTAGTGCATAGAGCATTGGCCCTGGACTAAAGGGTCTCAGGTTCAATTCCAGTCAAGAGCACGTACCTCGGTTGCAGACTCGATCCCAGGCCCTGGTCGGGGCACGAGCAGGAGGCAACCAATTGATGTATCTCTCTCACATCAATGTTTCTCTCTCTGTGTTTCTCCCCCTCCCTCCCACTCTCTCTAAAAAATCAATGGAAGAATACCTTCGAGTGAGATTAACCAAAAAAAGAAAAGGAAAATGAGACTTGGGCTGACATATCATGCGTAAGATTAGTTGTAATATATAAAAATATTAAGTTCTAAAAGTAATTAAGATGGTGAAAATTGAGTCTTAAAGTCACCAAGTAACCCTATGGTCATATTCTTTTTAGAACTACAGGCCATGAGTATCAGATCTAAATGTGGTCTGCTTACTTGTCAATCAAAAGGGGGAAGGAAGGGTCACCAACTATTAAGACAAGTAGTTGCACCTCAGTGGACTCCACATCTGACTCATGTTACCCTAAAGCAGTGTTTAGTCCTAGTAAGACCAGTACATTCAAGGAAAAGGTTAAATTACTTTCTTTACTTAACTTTAAAAATAAAGTCTGAGGTTAGAACAGTATGATTCAAACAGTGTAAGAATTTTCCTAAAATCTGAAGTGATAGGCATGTCTCTCTCAGATCTCAAAACAAGTACACAAAGAAAGTCCCATGTAGGCTGATAAAAAAACAACAACATTAAAACTTAAAAGGGGTATGCAGCCCCAAAACTTTAAATGATGCTTGTGAATGATCAATTCTCAGGTTACATGAAACTCTTCCCTTTCTTCTTTTTGATTATTTTGTATTAAGGTGGGTCAATTAGTTTGCAATTTCCGTAGTGATCACCACTGATGACCACCAAAATAGTACACACCAAATTGATTTCAAGCCCTGTGAGCATCTAGACTCAATGAAGCCTCCACAATCTATAATTAGATTTTGCTAGAGAAAGTGTATACATACAAAATAAAATGGTTAAAATCCATAACAAATGTGTTTGTTATTTTAATTTTGTTTTGTTTCTCTTCCTTGACCTTCTCAACTCCCAGTTCAGGCTTTATTAATTCCTGTGTGTGTACTTATGGAAGATATAAATTTTCAGAAGCATCCTAAATGAACTACTATGTCCTTTTTAAAAAATAAGAGATAATCTTTTTTTTTAATACAACACATCCTCAAATAAGCAAGACAGAAAATGCATCAGTTTAATTAAGATTTCTCAGAAAGAGACTATCATCAACCCAGGAAGAAAAAAAGAAGTTGTGTGCTTTTTAATTTTTCTGATTTTTCCTCATTTTCACTTCAAATACAAGCATTTTTATCTGACTCACTACTGCAGCAAAAACCCAGTTTATAAGTTATTACAATTTTCAATCATGAGAGTTTTCTTTTTCTATTGTCCTTTTTTCCCCTCTACCAAGCTCACTAAATGTAGAGATGCACTGTGACATTGGCTTAGAGCAACAAATATTGATCTGTTTCCTCACAATGCTATTAAAAAAAACAACACCCTGTTAGAATCATACCCTTCTGTAATTGAACAATAGTCATTAAAAACCCATTTTTTTCTTTTTGGAGAGCTATCTATATTTTGGTGGAACAAAACCCTAATTTTTAGGCTTTCCTATTTTCTCTAACCTGCATTTTTAAATTAAAAAAATGTTTTCTTAAATGAATTTTCTGCCCCAGAAAACTAAATAATAGCCTTCAAATCATATAGTAATTTAAAATGGATATTGTTGGCATCATACCAAAATTAAATACATTTCCAACCATTAGAAAAACCAAAAAGAAAAACATCTGGATACATGAATTAGTATCATTTATTAAGATAGGGTACTTTGTAACAAGATAAAGAATATGCCAAAACCGGTTTGGCTCAGTGGATAGAGCATCGGCTTGCGGACTGAAAGGTCCCAGGTTCGATTCCGGTCAAGGGCATGTACCTGGGTTGCGGGCACATCCCCAGTAGGAGATGTGCAGGAGGCAGCTGATCGATGTTCCTCTCTCATCGATGTTTCTAACTCTCTATCTCTCTCCCTTCCTCTCTGTAGAAAATCAATAAAATATATTTAAAAAAAAAAGAATATATAAGACACGATCCTACTCTTGATGTGTTCACACTAAGAAGTTCAATTAGCTGTAGCTGTAAATTATATGTTGGTTTATTATGTGTTTTAGACACCTGACTACATGCAAACACTCAATTTACTCATATCATCAAACACTTGATATTATTATCACAATGATGAGACAAAATTAGTGCCCCCAAAAGGTAAATTTTCATACCAGAATTTGGGTAGTCTGACTACTCAAATCCCTATAATACATAGAAATGGAAGGAAGTAAGATATTCCATACCCCAAATCTATGTCACCTCCTTTGAGAGGCCTTCACTGACCTTGCTAACTACTTACGTCTTCCCATCAAACTCTTTTTAGCACCTGGTGTATTTCCTTTATGGACTTATCATGATCTGTACATATGTATTTGTCATTTGCTCTTTGGCTTTCTCCACCACCAGACTGGCCCTTGGGAGCAGGGACCTTGTCCATCTTATTTACCAGTGTAATCCTATTGACTAACATGTACCTAGCACACATAGTAGGTACTCAAGAAACAGGTGTTGGGTGAGTGGCCAAATGGTTGAATGATTCTGCTTTGGGATAAACCTGCATTGATTCTATATCTTTAGATTATAAACATGACATTTTAAAAATATAACCCAGCTCTTGTAATTGTCCAGTAAAACTCTAGAGTATTGAGCAAATGTTCTCAAATCAATAAATATTTTTTGAATACCTACCGCTTACACAGCTTTGTGGGAGATATCTGTCCTATATAATGAAAGGCTAATATGCAAATAGACTGAACGGTGGAACAATCGGAACAACCAACCAGTCGCTATGATGTGCACTGACCACCATGGGGCATGTGCAGAACATGGCAGGTGTCGGCCGCAGTGGGCTGGTGGAGCAAGTGAGTGGGGGTGCCAAACCAAGGCAGGGCACCAGTCACTGTCATCAGGACACGCCCCTAGCAGTTACTGAAAATTCTTTGCTCCCACGCGCCGTAGTCCTGCCCAGCGCTTGCATCTGCTGCCAGCGCCGGCCCCACTCACACCTGCTACTGGCGCCAGAGCCGCCGCTCGCACCCACTGCTAGTGCTGGCCCCGCTCACACCCACAGTCAGTGCCAGAGCAGCTGTTTGCACCCACTGCCGGTGCCCAGCGCCTGTCCCATTTGCTTGGCGCCATCAGCGGGTTCAAGTGGCGTCTGCCAGCCCTAATTGCCCCGAGGGCTTTTCCACCTCCCCCTGCTCCTGAGGAGTGATCGGGGCAGCAGCCGAAGCTTGCACCCACTGCTGGCGCCAGCCCCAATCACTCAGCACCGTCAGCGGGTGTGAGCGGGGCCGGCACCAGCATGGGAACAGTGGTGGCGGGAGTGGGGCTGCCGGCAGACAGAGGACCTGGGGCCGCAGTGGGAGGGGCTGGGTGGGAGTGTGGAGGATGGGCTGAGACCCACCCCTGTGCCCACAGTTCAAGGTGCACAAATTTGTGCACTGGGCCCCTAGTGTGTGTGTGTGTGTGTGTGTGTGTGTGTGTATACATATATATATGTATATATATGTATATATGTGTGTGTGTGTATGTGTGTGTGTGTGTGTGTGTGTATATATATATATGTATATATACATATATAGCTTAATATGCTAATTGTCCCTCCAACCATTTGACTGGTCGACCAGTCGCTATGTTGTGCACTGACCACCAGGGGGCAGATGCTTCAACTGGTAGGTTAGCTTGCTGCTGGGGTCAGGCCAATTGAGACTGGGTGAGACCGGCCGGACATGCCCTAGAGCCCTCCACCGTCCCTCCCCGGCCCCGATTGTGATCCGCCCCGATAATGAACCGGTGGGGTCCCTCGGCCTGACCTGTGCCCGTTCACAATCCAGGACCCCTTGGGGGATGTCAGAGAGCTGGTTTTGGCCCGACCCCCACAGGCCAGACCAAGGGACTCCACTGGTGCACAAACCTGTTCACCAGGCCTCTAGTAAGAAATATAAAACACAATCCCTACATTAAAAACACATCATTAAGAATCTATTCCCATTAAATAACTCCAAAATTAACAAATGAAGTAGAAGAGGTCTCTTTTCTTTTTAGGTTTATCCACTTCCACAATGCTTTGCCAAAAGCTGTTTCCTCCCACAACTTTGCCTGGATCAATACCGGAAATCATTTAACTTATCAAGGGACATTAAACTATTGGTCCACAATTTCTTATCCAAATCCATTGAGGCCAGATGAGTTGTAGAATTCGAACTCAATTTTTAATTTTAATTTTTTACTTTTGAAGGGTAATGCCATGCCTGCACTACATATCTGTACATATGTATTTGTCATGATACCCACAGTAAGGTGTGGGGCCACTATGAACAGTCAAACATTAACATGACTGCAAACAAAATCTATAAATA